ATATATCGCAACAATGTCACCATGCAGCAAGGTAACCAGCGCGTATAATCCGGAAACGGATCATTAAGCCGTGCCTGTGACGCCTAACAGTATAGAACAGAGAAAGACAATAGCTAGATGTATAGTACATGGTGTAAATTTTAAGTGACAGGATTTGTATATATCTCCACTGCTGCTACTAGTACCAATAATGCAACCATGATGGTAATACTACTACTGCTACTACTGCTGTTGTTGCTGCTACTATAACTATTCTGTTACCGTAATAATTATTACTACTGTTACTTCTACTACTGCTGCTACTACTACTGCTGCTACTACTACCGCTGCTCCTGCTGTTGTTGTTGCTACTGCTACTGTTACCACTGCCACTTAATTTAATCAGTCAGATCACTGATGCGCAGTATTAAAAAAAAAAAAAACAGTACTCAAAAACTTATTGCAAGCAGACATCTGTAACTGGCAAGGTCTACAGAGCAGAAAACGCAAACATAGATGGAGGAGCAGGAGTGGACATTGAGCATTCAAATAATACAAGATACACGGCCAAAATACCTTCAGGAATGTACTGTCACAGCTATGATGCAGACGTTTAAGCCATTAAAAAAAAAAAAAAAAAACAGCATAAAAGCTGGTTTTAATACGTCATATTTCACAACCAGTGGTATTTCTGACAGAATACAAGAGCGGTGCTTCGGGCACTCCAATCTGGAAAACTGCCTGGTTTGCGAAAACTACTCTCCAAACTAGGCAGTCGGTGTAAGGTGACTATGCAATGAATATCATCCAACTGTGGAGTTCATGTAAATGAAACAGCTGATAAACTAGCTAAGGAAGCCAGTGAAATTTTGCAATTCCGGTACAACCAGTAGCAGTTTGATTATGTGTCCGTCTTGCCTTTCCTCTGAGTGTAAAATGTCGATCGGATCCCCCGGTCACTCCCTTACGGCGTTCTGTTTAAAAAAGAAAAAGGCGTTGCAAATTCATTGAAGTTTTCTTAAATGTCAATACAGTAAAAAAAAAAAATGTTTGGCAAATACTGCGTCAAACACATCACGGCGTAATTGGGATAATTGAGAATGGAGCGGAAGCAGTCACTGCAGCTTTCCACTGGCTTGAGAACCAGCTTACTGTACATACATGTTGTGATAGTTGAGTTTAGTTGCGTATCCTTTACAGTACGTTGTAGAACCAACCCCAGTATTTTTTGGTTGCTGTGGCTTTTCTAAAAAGGTTTACGTCCAGTAATTTGCCATTGCTTGCTGGACGGTCAGCTTCTCGATACCCCTGTCGAAACCAAGGCAAGGCACAAGGACCGCAGCTGGGATCGAACTCAGCACCCCGGCATTACGAAGCGCGTTCGCAACGCCTAAGCCACAGACGCCGACGTCGTGATAGTAACAATCTCATAAAGCATGCTGAAAAATTCGAAGGTAAGCATGTTGCTTACAGAGTGGATCTCTCCAGACGGACTGGGTAGTTAGCATCTTTTGGACACTTTCTTCTGGGCAAGCAGCAGATGTTTTTGGGAAAGATACAGGCAGACAGTTTCTGCACTATATGGTGATAAATGGATGTCTGCTGACATGGATTACGTTAAGACCATTTGAGAAAAAAACAGAGAGAGAGAGAGAGAGAGAGAGAGAGAGAGAGAGAAAGAGAGAGAGAGAGAGAGAGAGAGAGAGAGAGAGAGAGAGAGAGTAAACAGTGCGATAGCACTACAGATTATCAGTCTGGAACAACTAAGACCATTGTGAGTGACCAAGAGATATGGCCGACACTAAACGTTAAGGATAAAGCGTGATGTGCATACAATCCGACTGCAACTCGTAATATTTGCCATGGCTGCTGAAGATGGGGACGGAGATCTTTTGAGAATGTCAGTGCTGTGCTGTCGGTTGCTCACTCAAATCGTTCGTTACCGATGTAACACTAGCCTGTTATTGATAAGGGGTTTCATTGTTTCGCATAGATTTCAATGTTTGTAATTCATATTTAATTGTTGACAGCTGTGCTTTTTATTGCTTGTTGAACGATGCATGAATGAAACTTGTATCACATGTATGAGGTCGGATAGCAGAATATTAAATGGAATTTGATAACCAATGTGTGTTCTTCTTCTTAGTCCATGCCATGTGACGTTGGTGGTCATATCTGTCCGCCACCTTCTGTCTCGTTTACTTGTAATTCTCACCTATGAAGGTGAAGTCGGAAGATGTAAGCCAGTGTCATTGTACACGGTTATAAACCATAAGTGCTCTGCCACAAGTACAGACAGCTGATAAAAAACTGTCCGCCTGTGTCTCCCAGTTGGATGCCTACACTGATATGCAATAAAACTGAATTTACCCTGTTTTTATCATTGTTTCAGTCTCCCAGTTTGATGCCTATACTGATATGCAAGAAACCTGAATTTACCCTGTCTTCATCAATGTTTTAGTCACCCAGTTTGATGTCTATACTGATATGCAATAAAACTGAATTTACCCTGTCTTCATCAATGTTTTAGTCACCCAGTTGGATGCCTATACTGATATGCAAGAAAACTGAATTTACCCTGTCTTCATCAGTTTCAGTCTCCCAGTTGGATGTCTATACTGATATGCAAGAAACCTGAATTTACCCTGTCTTCATCAATGTTTCAGTCACCCAGTTTGATGCCTATACTGATATGCAATAAAACTGAATTTACCCTGTTTTTATCATTGTTTCAGTCTCCCAGATGGATGCCTATACTGATATGCAAGAAAACTGACTTTACCTTTTCTTCATCAATGTTTCAGTCTCCCAGTTTGGACGAATGCAATTCTTCATGAGATGGCCAGGAGACGCCCAATGGGACCGGGTCGTCAATAACCGAGGGCAACCGTTTTTTGTGCCTGGTAAGTTTCTTCGACATTAGTGTTGTTATAGAACACACACATACGCACAGACATTCACACCCACACGAGCACTCATACACACGCTAACACACATGCACGCACGGACGCGCACTCACACACACACCAGGGGCGCGTTTCTCCCCTAAACTTCCATTTAGTGACCGGCTGTCTTCAGGTTCAGCATTCAGATGTTTCGAGCTGTTTGGTTTGTCTTGATGAAGAGAAATAGGACAGAAGCTTACATATATGGTGCAAGCGTCCAGTTTTCCATAAACCCCGGAAAACAGCAGCTCATTTCCATTGAGCCCCCCCCCCCCCCCCCCCCGTTTCCCGCCTAATTCGCGTTGCAAGTATGAAGTCCTTTGTGTCCCACCTGCCGAGCCTCAAATTATCGATTATCGTTAAAATATCTCTTAGAAATGAACCTAGGTTTTACGGGGGGTAAAAAAAAAGGATAGCTAAAAATGGGTACAAGTAAAGACGGCGGCGGCTGACCACATTAACCATCTAGTGCTGATTGATCTGTAAATATATGGGATTCTCTTCCCATATGCCCGATGCGCCTGAGGTGTGAAAAGGTACACAAAATGGATGGGTGGAATCATCCCTGAAAGGTTTGTAACTGGCCTGAATAGACTCTTTTAACTATGTATAAAAAAGTTAGTCCTTTTTGCTTCAAAAGTATGGTTTTTGTCATTCAGCACAGTATTTTTGTTACCAAATGTTTTATTATTATAACATAAAACTAGGTAATACCCCTTGATGGCCTACGCTTTGATTATAAAGTTTATAAGGCAGGGATTGGAGATTGCTAAAAGAATATTTTCTATGTGTCGGCTTCTCGAGTATGATCAAAATTGCCTCTTGAGACATGTCCTGGTGTCATTTTAAGCTGATATCAGTAATTAAATAAAATTAACCTCTGTGCAGATTGGAACCTAAGATCTTCGAGTAGACAGGATAGCATCTAATTAAGTACCGCAGCTTCAAATCCGAGAACACGGTAATTTTGCTTCTAGAGACAAACATGTAGCACAACTACAGCCCTTCAGGGTTAACTCCTACCATGAACAGATGGCAATCAACACGTGAAACAGATCTATTCATTCTTCACACTGTCACAACTCGAGCGATACATGAACGTTGTGGATAGAACACCTCATAGTGCCGATCAATACACTTTTGTTACTTGATTAATTCATCTTCATACACAACCAAGGGACACTGATACGAGTGGAACTACAAAATTCGTCGTTAATCCGTTCCTGAGGGTAGGATGAATATTGAAAAGGACGAATATCAGACGAAATTATCCTATATAAATACATTAAAAATAGTTTAATCCTCTCCCAGCCCTGAATTTTGCCTGTTTAATCTTAAACACTGAAAACAAATTTCACTCAAAAAACTGATTGAACATCGGAGCAAATACATTTTAATGACATTGTAACCCCTGTACTTATTACCGTTTCATCATTATGACAGAGATATACTCGTCCTGATGTCGTAAACATACTGTAGGCCTGCATAAATAAATAAATACATAACTTGTGTTTTAAAATTTATCTTTCGAATGACACCCCCCCCCCCCCCCCCCAAAAAAAATGTAATTAACTGCAACGGGAGCCACCTAAAACTATGACTTCATGTAATCTTACTTCTGGTGACTGATGTCTTGATGATTCATCTGCATTTTCAGAGAATTGCATATTTTTTTAAAAAGAAGTTATCCAATGTTGTTTGTTTTGTTTGAAAGTGTTAAAACTTATCGTCGTGAAATTACCTGGTACGCTGATTACCTATAGCTATGTTTTAGTGCCATTTTTGACGGAGACCTGCATTGTTTCACAAGTGGTCAGCTATTCCTTAATTTGAGCAATTGGAAACCCTCCCGTCAGCTTCTGTTTCCTACTTTGATGAAATGTCTATTGTTTCTGCACCTTCCTATTTTTAATGAAGCTCGAGTAGCTCTTGTGTAGTGAGTTCCGTTCTATTAAGCTTTGTTGAAACTAACTTTGTTAGACGACTATTGACTTTTCGGGCGAATATCAAATAAGAAACACACACACACACAAATCAGGACGAATTAAACCAGGAAAAAGTTGAATAGTGATGTAG